AACAAATGGGACAGAATAACGTGAGGAATGGGACAGAATAAACGTGAGGAATTTCATTGCCAACATAACGGATGCTACAGTCAAGTATACTCTTTTCAATTTGAAATCTATTTTTGACACCGCATTTTAACGGTGTCTGAAGAGCACTAGTGTCGCTGAAAAAGCCCTGCCTCTAAAACGTAATTGAACTCACTAGGACTGATAAGTGTCTCGGTCTAGGGCTCATGTGGGCTGACCACGTTTAGTGTTGCCAGATGGAGGCTATCCGTTTTCCTCCCGATTCAACTTTATGGCTGACATGACCGGCCCCTGGCGACTAGTGTCGGTGAGGTTGAAATATGTTTGGGCTGTTTGCTCACAGGCATTAGATGTGCAAACCATGGGTCCTCTTGTTAAAGATTGGTTAAAAAGGCAGGCAGTGCCAACAACCTTAACTGTTTTGCCAAAGATTAGTATGCGTTTCGCTTTTGAAAATGCAGAGCACTGAATGTTGGGCGCGCTGCAAGAATTGTCAGTGTTGGGTAGCCATATGGACTGCAGCGATGAGCCATAAACAGGAAACATATTTCCAAAACCGTTGCGAACTTCTGGTCGGTTGTAATCAGTCAGGTAATACCTTGATTAGTGTTGGAGTTCGAGTTCATATCCAAAACCAAAAAATAGGACCGACAACCTTGGAGTTCGCAGGTTACACTCGGCAATAGCCTTTTGAATGACTTGCGAACGAGAGGCAAATAAGTCGGTGAAACAGAGACCGGTTTGAGTTAACTGAGTTAAGCTTCTGACTTTATCTACCAGAACAATGCCGCGGCCTAATTCAAGTTGGATATGACGATGCTCCATGGCCTTGGTTAGTGCAAAGTGGCTGTCATGCGGGCAACACAGTTTAGCGGGACAATATAAAATGATGCACTATACAATGATGCCTGACGCGTACTCTGAACAATTACTTGTAGGCATTACGCCTGAGAGAGACCCAGCAAGTGAAAAGAGTGGCTCTCATTGAAAACGGTGGAATTTTCGCCCTCTTTTCTGGTAGTACCCGGCCCATGCACGGCCAGTCAGTGAAGCGGTTGCAGAGAAGGATAGTTCAAATCCAATTTAAATGTCCCACTGCTTGCACCGGGGAGCATGTGAATAGAGGAATATTAAAAATTCTTACCGCTTCAAATGTTTTGAAAGGCGCAGTTCTACGGCAAGAAAGAGACAGAGCTATCCAAGAAAAAAGGTTGTGTACAAATTTTTGACGCATTGATCGGGTCGTTTTTCATGCCAGTTCCCTGGACATAATGCAATTCACAAAATGCTAGCTGCCTAAAACTTCAGCAAGAATCCGACAGTTTTGGTTGCTTTGTCTCCAAAAATGGTGCGAGCATCTTCATCACACCCTCTAAATGAGATTAGCCGACACCCGTAAATGGCTGAAAGTTATAGATATTATTGTGATTTTACCATCAATATTTTTCTCATTTACGATCACCCTCTCTAGGCCTTACCGAATAGCTTATCGAAATTTGTTTGCCATATCCTCTAAATCTGGTGTGAATCAACTCCATTGAGGATGTAGTGAATACCTGGAGTATGCGGACGGCATTGGGCCATTTGTTTCTTATTTCATTTTGACAAAGAAAACTGAACAGTCCGCAAAACGAACAGTAGGTTTTTACGCAGTCTTGATATCTCTGTGGTGCAAAGTGCTACCACAGCATCAACAAAACCTATAACTGTATCAAAGCCGCTAAGGCTAGTGGACAGACTCGCCCTCTGGGTATTTGGATCACGTCGGGTGGCACCGTTCCTGGAGAGACAACTGCTACAGTCACCGAACGCTGTTCTGATTTCTTCTAACTTACTTATCTCTGGGATCAAGTTGACAACAATCTGTCAGTGATCACAAGGTTTACAATGCAGAAGCTTTCCAATATCACTTTAGATTTTTGGAAATTCATCAGTGTGCGCTAAACATAAGGGAAGCTTGGTTGTCTTCGAGAACAGATAGAAAAAGATTTGGGTATCTGGCTCTCTTCAAACATGTCCTTTTCAATGTGAAAAATTAGGTTTACAATGCAGAAGCTTTCCAATATCACTTTAGATTTTTGGAAATTCATCAGTGTGCGCTAAACATAAGGGAAGCTTGGTTGTCTTCGAGAACAGATAGAAAAAGATTTGGGTATCTGGCTCTCTTCAAACATGTCCTTTTCAATTCATCGTGAAAAATTGGCTCGAAAGGTATTTGTCGTTCTACGGATCATCCGGAGCACCGTTCATCGTGTTACTCGCAAAATATTCTGGACACCCTACGGGGCCTGTGACCGACCACTCCTCGAATATTCCGTGCAGTTTTTCTGCTCAGTACGCAAGAACGGCTTAACCCTTGTTAAGCGCGCCCGGAGGGCTGCTAAGGAAGTTCTTCCCGGCCAGTGATCATTAGGCGCATCTTGGGTGCTTGACCTGTTTCCCCTGCATTATCGCTACCTCTGAAGAGACCCAGTGCTCAATTGCGTCCTTTCGAACAAGATTTGGCTAACGGATTTTCATCGGCAACCCAACTAATACACGGCGGGGACTTGGTAAGATCTTCAAGCTAGGAGCACAAAATTCATTAAGTGACAATTTCACAGTTTCAAATTTTTGGTGCATCCAGTAACCTTCCACCGACAGTTGTTCAGCTGGATCTAGTATCCAGTTCAGGAAAGTTTTAGATGCATTTGCGTGAGTCCTTTTGCTGATGAACCCGCTGTCTCACTGAAAACCAAAATGAGACGCTACAGGCTTTTCTGCTTGCGCTTCTCAGGTGAACGGATGCCTGTGAACAAGAACAAATCCGACCCGGAAGCTTGGGCCTATGCTTTGATCTTGTATATCAATCCGGTAATCCGTACACCATCGGTGCTTTTGGGAAAACTCGTGGAGGCCCTTTCGCTCAACGATTGCGAGAGACCTGGAGGCTTACAATTTATTCGTCTCCGTAACCAAGTGAGATAAACTGGCGGGTGGGAGGCTGTCGGCCCGGCTTTCGACGTCCCTCCTCGACACAGGGTAAGAGGATCCGATGAGCTGGCATTTCCTAAAATGCGAAACCGTCGTAAATCAGAAATCCACCAATGGAACATACGAAAACAAGCCACCATTCTGGACCTCGCTCAAAAAGCAAAAACGTATTGTCCAAATACATGAGACGTCGCCGCAGAAACAAGCCACCCGCGTTCTCCTTGGGGGACAGAAACGGAGGACCGACGAGTGACCCAACAGTGGTATCTGAGGTTTACGGAGAACACGATGCGTGTCTGTACTCAGACCCAGCGTCTTCGTCACACCCACTCTTGTCAAGGCGTAACTACGAACGGCCTCTAACCGACTTGGTCTTCACGGTGGAGGAAACTCGTCAACTCTTGCACAGGATCAACCCATTCTGCGCGTTGGGGCCCGACGAGGTCCATTCAAGGATCATGACGGAAACGTTGTCCACACTGTCAAATAATTTACACCAGGTGTTTCGTCAGTCGCTTGACGAAGGCCGCCTTCCCTCTTCTTGGAAGGGAGCGATTGTCACGCCAATCTACAAAACTGGTGACCGACTATCGCCTGGCAGCTGCAGGCCTATGAGCCTCCCTAGCGTGCCGTGCAAGGTGATGGAACGCATTCTGAAGCGAGCTATCCTAGATCACTCTACTTCCAGCAATCTGATATCTCCAGCTCAACACGGATTTCTCCCAAACCGTTCTTGCGTAACAAACATGCTCGTNCCCACACGTCCCGCTGCTCTACAAACTCGAGTCTTACGGGATTCAAGAGGAAATCATTCACTTGATCAAGGAGTTCCTATCCGACAGATCATCCCGAGTGAGAATAACCTCGACCTACTTTTCTCCAGCACCGGTCTCCATTGGAGTTCCTCAAGACTCCGTCCTGGGACCAGTGCAGCTTCTGATCTACGTCAACGACCTTCCAGATTTTTTTGCAACTCCATGTCTACTTTTTGCGGACCACTTGAAATCCTGGAGTTCCAATACCAGTGCCCTCCTAATGAAAGAAGACGCTGCCAAGCAGTGGTCGTTGGACTGGCACCTTCCTCTGAATGACGAAAAGTGCGTCCATACGTCGTTTGGGGGAGACTCAGCGAATACCCTTGTTATGCATGGTAAGAAAGGACCAGAAGACATCCTGCGGATAGATGCCAAAAGGATTTGGGCATTTGGGCCTCCCCAAGCTTGTCCTTCTCACTGCACCATGAGAAATCGGCTTGAAGGGCATTCGCAATCTTACGGATGATCCGACGCACTCTCTCGCGTATTGCTCGCATGGACCTCTAAATACTCCATGGGTCCTATGTCAGACCGCTTCTGGAATAAGCCAACCAAGTTGTTCGCTCAGGATACACGGAAGACGTCACTCTCGTTGAGCGTGTCCAGTGAACCGCTACGAGAATGGTTGCCGGACTCGAATCCGTGGACTACGAAACGCGTCTCGCGATGATTGATCTCCTTCCATTAGAGTATCATCGCCTCCGAGGGGACCTAATTCTTACTTATGCTCTGTTTGAACAAAGCTTGGCCAACAGGTTTTTCACCGTCAACCCAGCAAACAGGCGTTGGGGACATAGTGAGAAGATTTTCAAGCTCGGGGTGCACACATTCATGAGGCCACTTTTTTCTGGTTTCGGGTAGTAGTTGCGTGGGATGACCTTCCCCCGACGGTTGTCCACGCTCTTTCTAGAGCCCAGTTTAAACACTATTAGACATTTAATTATTCGAATCCTCGCACTGGCAAGCATACTGCCCCGCGCTGATAATATAAAGAGCGGTGCTACATCCTTTTTTCACTTGTGCCTTTCAGGTTAACAACAGCCACTGAGCGACAAGAACAAAAGCGACCCGGTAATCTTAGGCAAAATCCTCGATCCTGTGTATCAGTCCGTAAATCCGTGAACTAAAAATGTTCGATCTTGATTGGCTCTTATTCTGACCAGCTGGTGCACGACTTATCTGTTTCGTTGCCCGTCGCGGCGTGTCCAGCTGTCTGAGCCGCCAGCCTCCGAAGACTCCCGTGAGTTCGCTGTTCCCCCGGCTGCTCCTGTGACTTTCATTTGTCGACCCGTACCCGGGGTATTAAGCATGAAAACTTGAGTTCTTATCTAAATGGTTCGTGCTGTATTCTCCACTTGGGAGGTTTCTCAAATTACTCGGTTTCTCATGCGACGCGGTTCCACATTAGGTGTGCTACTTGGGGTTTCATTCGCTTACCGCCGACGTTCCTAGAATCTAATTTGCGCCGTGTGCTTGGCATAGCATTAGCCTCGGTGCACACCGTAGAAACCTGACATTCATTGAACCACTGTGGTGCCCCTTCGTCTGATCTCTGCTTAATATTCTGGACAGCACTGGAACCTAACCATGAGATTGTGGATTTAGGGGTGCAAGACACAGACACAGTGTTGCAAGATTTTGGCAGCGCTCACCAAGACGGATGGAAATGGTGGTGTTGCCGGTTTCGGACGCCACGAGCTGTACGCCTGCTGTGTGTCCGGTATTCTAACTGTTCTCCAAAATAGCTGTTATTGTTGCAACCACAAAACCTTTCAGGTGTGGTGTTCCCAAGAATGTGCTGCCGTCCTCTGCTGATGTTTAATCACAAACGCCATTGAAAGGCTGAAGCTTACCAAACCCGCCCATTTGTAGGAGATCGAGGCCTGTATAGTTGGGGCAGTAACCAACATTGAACGAACCCAAAATGTACATCACTGAGCGCTTCAGCTTCCCGGTCATACGCATCGCAAACAGTAC